GTTAATTTCTTAAAAATGAGTGATCAGATGATATGATTTTGACAACCATAATTATGTAATTAAACAAAATCATAAAAATAAATAAGTGAGTAAATACATAATTTATCCTAAAATATCTATAGTTTAGATTTAGTCTTGTTTAATCTCATTCATAATATTTTTTATTTGTACTTAAAATTTGATGGCTTGAGCTTAAAATTCAATTTTTAAAATAAACGAATAATAAAAACGTGAACCTTAAAGATGACGTTATTATATTAAAAACCTTCAAAATTTTATTTTATTTAAGAAATTGCCCCCAAACTAGATTTGTTAGAAAAATACTCCCAAAGTGCATACGTAGGACTAACTCGTGTCCTACGAAAAGCGAGGAAAGTACTCGCTTTGCACATTTGAGCCTATTTGATAAGTGCTTTAATTTAGATAATTTTTGGCTTTTAAATTACTCATTAATCATTGGTTTTTGTGGCTTAATTGTTCATTTTGATTCATTTTCTGTGCAGGATGTCAGATTCTGGAAATTACACAAAAAGGATAGAATTCTGCAGTTTTTTTATTTTCGGAATCAAAGCTGGCTGGAATTCGGATTTGAATTAAACTCAATTTAGGATAATATTTTAAACATTATATTTTATCTTTGTATTTTAATTTAATTAGGTTTTAGTATTTTAATTAAGTTTTAGGATATTATTTTTATATTTTATCTTTGTTTTAGGTATTTTAGTTTAAATAGGTTTTAGTATTTTAATTAGGATTTAGAATATTATTTTAAATATCATTTTTAGGTATTTTAGTTTAAATAGTTTTAAGTGTTTTAATTAGGATTTAAGATGTTTTAGTTTGTTTTTAGGAATTTGAAGGCTATAAATATCCTCCAAGGGTAAGCCTAGAAACATATCTCTCTCATCTAAGAATAAAATCTTCTTTTTCTCTCTAGTTTTCTCTCTATTTTTTGCATACTTTTCAATTATGTTAAGTATGACTTTGGTCATGCATAGCTAATTTTCTTTTAAGCCGTGGGCTAAAGCGAAGACTCAATTCCAAGTGTGAGAATTGTAAGATACTTAAATCACTTCAGATTTTTCTCTTTGTTTTATGAGCTTACTTTTCAAATCAAAATGATTTCGACATTGGTCCGGATGTTGTTATGGTTAACGTTTGAAGAAGGATTTGCTTATTGAAGCATATTCAACTTTCTGAGAACACACTTAGTACAATTGTTTTCTAAGAGAAAATTGAGATTAAGAATGGCAACGGGTTGGGTTCGGGGCGGGTTTTGCTCGCCCCCTCCCCGAACCTGAAATGAATCCCCATCCCCAACCCCGACCCGATCCCTGACGGGTTTTTTATCGGGGCACCCCGTCGGGGATTTTTTTTCCCCGTCCCCGAACCTGACCCGAAATATTATACACAAACCCGAACCCACAAATATTTTATATATAATTAATATAAAATATATAAAATATTATATATATAATTAATATAAAATATATAAAATATTATATATATATATATAATCGGGGTGGGTCGGGGATACCTTTCCCTGAACTCGACCCGAAAAAATCCCCGAACCCGAAACCGACCCGATATCATTCAACCCGACCTCACCCGAACTTGACGGATTTCGGGTTTCCCCGTCGGGTTCGGGTTATATTGCCATCCCTAGCTGAGATCGATATCAATTATTGTTGAAACGACATAATCCAAGTTGACAGTGAAGAATTGTCCTTGTAAGCCGACGTGAATCTTTAAGTAAAAATCTATTTCGATGATCCGAGAAATTTGAGGCAAAACTGAAGTCTGCGGCTACTTTCACTATAAGTTTCTCTTTATCTCAATCTATTTAAATTATTTATTTAATAATTTTCTTTTATTTAATTCTTATCTTTTATTTTAAAAACAACTTTTAAAAATCCATTTTTATCTTTACTACTATTATTTATTATTTTATTATTTTCCTTTTTTTATTATTATTTTTTTATTATTATTTTTTAATTATAATTATTTATTTTATTTTATTATATATTTTTAACTTCATCTGGAATTCTATACTCCTCTAAATCAAAGAGTTTTACTAAATCACAAAAACCATAGTCCCTGTGGATCGACCCTGCTTCTCTATACCACATTTTCCTTTTTATTTAATTAAGAAGACGAAATTATTTTGATAGCAAAACGACGGTTATCATTCTTGTATCACATTTGAAGAGGATGAACAACTTATGGAAGCTAACAAAATACGACTAACCTCATACATACATCACCAACAGGCTCACTCAGGACCATCCAAACTTAGATGTTCACGTGCTTTGTGATGCCTTTATGCCACTGGTCAAAGCAAATCCACGTATAATAATTTCCAGTTGTAATCACATCTCAGTACAGCTACATAGTTAACTACCATAAAGCATGGTATACTAGGTATCATGCTAAAAAAAGTATATGGCCAATGGGAAGAATCGTGCAAAGAGTTTCGACCATGGCTGAAATTGATGAAGAAATATATATGGAGCACGTTTATCAAACTAATAATTATTCTGACGTACGAAAATGATCAAGTCGTACAAGGGGTGTGCCAATTTCACATGCTATTTTGGATATTTCTTTAGTGTGTTAATGTATTTCGGCACTACAAGCCGATGGTTCAAATCGATGACACTTGGTTATACAACAGATACACACAAATAATGTTGTTGGCAGTGGCACAAGACAACAATAAAAAACAATTCTCATCGCATTCGCAATAGTCGAAAATGAAGATATAGACTCTTAGGAATTCTTCTTTAAGTACTTGCATTGATATGTTATATCACATGTTTTACGTATGAGACCATCTTGAAAAGCTCCCCATATTTATCACCGGTACTGTTTATGCCATGTTGCTACAAATTATTTGCAAAAGTTCAGAACGAAGATGAACACTTAATGGTATTTCGAACGGGTATGTCTTTCATTGTTTTGGATTCAGATATACTCTCATTTATTATTTATAATTAACTATTGTATTTTTAATGGGTAGGCCACTCGTATTCTGTATATGAGGTTGACAAGCTGTTTGAAAAATTGAGACACATGAATCAAGAAGGCTAAAACTACCTTGCTAAAATCCCGAGAGAGAAATGGCTTCGGTCATTTGATGGGGGCAGATGATATAGTCACATGAAATCGAACTTGGCTGAGGTAATCAATTCATCATTGAATGGAGTACGACATTTATCTATCACTTCTGCTGTCAAAGCGACATATTATCAGTTGGCAACCCTATTTGCAACCTTAGGAAGACAGTGAGTTGACTGGATTGCAAGTGGTCACATAATCCACCCAGACATCCATATAAAATTACAAACCTTTCTGCAGTACTCAAACGCGATGAGTGTGATATACGTCTGTCGCGAACAAAATATATTTTATGTTTCAAAATATTCGAGGCCATTCAAAGGCATATAACACAACACATACGTCGTTAATATGCGTGACAAAACATGCGACTGTGGAGTATTCCAAACATCCAAATACTCGTGTCTACATGCCATTGCTACTTATTCTTCTATACGTATTGACTATAATATAATTCGTTGATCGCGTGTTCTTATTGGAAACCGTATTCAATATGTATCAGTATGAGTTTCCTCCCATTGGAAAGAAAATAGATTCAAATGCAATTGATGATGAACCTACAATACAACCAACTTTTACACTACAACGCCAATGAGGATTTACTGCGATAAGGATCTAGTCTATCATCGAGAAAGAACCGGACAACCGAAGCTATGTAGTATTTGTAGGAATCCCAGACACTCGAAGAACAAATATCCTAATCGATCACGCCCTCGTATCGATTAGTTTGTTTTAAAACGAACACATTTTTATGTTTTAAATATATAATCCAACGAATATAATGTTAAAATTTGTTTAACTTATTAATTAAGTTTTAATTATTAATTTGTTTAAGTTATCATTCAACAATATGATTTTCACCCCGCCCCGAACATGCCTGTCAAGCCATGTTAACATCTTCTTCATGTAAAAAATAAAGTTTTGAAACCATTTTGAACGCGATTTTTACCCCAATTACAATGTCTCGTATGTGCTGATATTACTTTCAATTGACAGACAATTTACAATACTACGCCTATACTTTTATAAATTATGTAATTTTTCAGATTAACTACCTGAAAAACCCTCGAATGTGCCTACCAAACCATATTAGCATTTTCTTCATGCACAAAAAAGCTTTGGAACCATTTTCAAGGTGATTTTTAACCCACTTACAATATCTCGTATGTTTCAATATTAACCTTAATTGAAAGATAAATTCCAATAATACGTGTATAATCTTATAAATTAAAAAAATAAGATTAAATACCCTAACATGCCTACAAGCACTTGTGATTTGGGCTGGAAAACAACATACCTCGCTATTTGGGAAACACGAAGTATGTTGAATACCACTCGTAATAAAATTCTCAGGCAATTCAATATCTAAAAATATAGCATTATGCGTAACGCGAAGTATTTAATATCAATATTAAATTGTACTCCAAAAAAAAATGTACCCATGTAGGACGTATCTTGTGTATTGTGCAAAGCGAGTACTTTCCTCGTGTTTTGTAGGATACAAGTTAATCCTATGCGTGTACTTTAGGGTATTTTTCTAACAAATCATATTTAAGAGTATTTCTCAGAAAAATGTTTTTTTTAGTGTTTTTAATATAATAACACCCTTAAAGACGTACTTCCTAAAACACGTCTTTTTGTTTCATCAATGAAATATGGGTATTGATAATTTGTATCATATAAGGTTGATTAGACATGTTATTATAGTGCATAAAATGAAATTATTTTAAGAATTAATCATAAAATTTATTACATTTAAAAAATAATTTTTTAAGGGAAAAATCTCCGTTGAAAAGCCAATGATTCCATTATAGTCACTACATTATCCCATCTATAAAGGCATCGTATTCTTCAGCTTATCTTATTTGCGCAACTTTGGCTTGGGATTCTTTTGAGAGAGAGAGAGAGAGAGAGAGAGAGAGAGCTTCAATCTTTGGTTATTGAGTGGTGAAAGAAGATGGAGGGGAAAGAGGAGGATGTAAAGTTAGGAGCAAACAAGTTTTCAGAGAGACAACCAATTGGGACATCAGCCCAGACAGACAAGGATTACAAGGAACCACCACCGGCACCTTTGTTTGAGCCTGGTGAACTCAAGTCATGGTCTTTCTACAGAGCTGGTATTGCGGAGTTCATGGCCACCTTCTTGTTTCTTTACATCACCATCTTGACTGTAATGGGTGTGTCCCAGTCCAAGACCAAGTGTACTACCGTCGGCATTCAAGGCATAGCTTGGGCCTTTGGGGGCATGATCTTTGCTCTTGTCTACTGCACTGCTGGCATTTCAGGTCACATTCCTTTCAATTTTTATTTTTTACTTTGCTGTTATAGATTTTAGCTTTGTTTTTCTTTGGCCAAGCACAAAATTTGAACATGTTCTCGCATGTTAAATGTGTTTAATAACCAGATCTGGGTGTTTTTTGAACTTCAGGTGGGCACATCAACCCAGCTGTGACCTTTGGGCTGTTACTGGCAAGGAAACTGTCCCTTACAAGGGCGGTGTTTTACATGGTCATGCAGTGCCTTGGTGCCGTATGTGGAGCCGGTGTAGTAAAGGGGTTCCAAGGAAACAGTCGATATCAGATGTTGGGTGGTGGAGCTAACGTTGTTGCCCATGGCTACACCAAGGGATCAGGTCTTGGTGCTGAGATCATCGGTACTTTTGTTCTTGTCTATACTGTTTTCTCTGCTACTGATGCCAAGAGAAACGCCAGAGACTCTCATGTTCCTGTATGTGTTGTTTTCTTTCCTTTTGAGTGCATGCTAATATTGGTGTTTAGTTAGATCTTCAAAGTGTAATGGAGTAACGCATTACTAATGAATTTCTTGCCACTGCACTGCAGATTTTGGCTCCCCTTCCCATAGGGTTCGCGGTATTCTTGGTACATTTAGCCACCATTCCCATCACCGGTACTGGTATCAACCCAGCCAGGAGTCTTGGAGTTGCCATAATATACAACAGAGACCACGCATGGGATGACCATGTTAGTATCGTTCTTCATTCCCCAATCTTTCATCGTAGTGTTTGCATTGTTAGAGATGGACTAAAATTTATGCGTTTGGTTGCAGTGGATCTTCTGGGTTGGCCCCTTCATTGGAGCTGCTCTTGCTGCAATTTACCACCAGATAATTATCAGGGCTATTCCTTTCAAGACCAGAGCTTGAAATGATCACTGATCGTGGATCTTCTACTTGCTTCTCTTTTCGTGTCCTACTTTGCCTTGTTTGGTTTGCATTTTGGGTTAATGTGCGTAAATTACGCTAGAGTTGTGCTGTATTTCCTTTTATTTGTCAGTGAAGGATTCTTTTTTTAATTATATATTCTCTCCCAAATCTAAGGCGTTTTTACCGAAATATAACTCTTAGACTCAATAATTAATGTCATGTACCCTTTAGCTTAATATTACCGATTTAATCTTTTCTAATACGGTGCCAATAAAACGTAAATTGTCAGTCGTGATTTTACGGAGTTCTATCCTAACTGGGGTTATGTAAGGAAAGGCACAAATGCATGATCCGCTCCTTTCCTTTAATTCCTCATCCATTCTCCTACATTGATTATCACACGTCTTTCCCCTCATCTTTTCCTATAAATACCACACTCAACATAATCTTCAAACTACACTCAAATCTTAAATTCTCTTACTTTTCCTATTATCAACCTTTTATTAAGAACATAAAATATTTTTATTATATTATAATTATTTATTAATTTATTAAATTTTATTATATGATTTTTTTATTATTTTTTGTAATTATAAAATGGAAGTTGCGTTGTTACGTTTAGATGAGAATTATATCTCGATGTATTTTTTTAATATGGTAATAATTTTAAATTGAGTTATTATTTTAATTATTGTGAATGTTATTTATTTAATTTTTTAGTATTATTTTATATTTTAATTTGTTTACTATTTATTAAATTATGAGAGAGATTGTATATTAGATTCATTCATTCGTAAAGTTAAGTTAGAGATACATACTCGTGTTTGGCCGTATTTAGACGAAGTTGAATTTCGTTACATAGAGAAAAGGTACTGTAACCTTGAACTCAACCTTATTTCTGCACTGGTTGAGAGGTGGAGACTAGAGACACACACATTTCATCTTCCGTGTGGAGAGTATACTATTACACTAGAGGATATTTCCATACATTTGAGGCTTCCGGTAGATGGGATGTGATTTATGGGATGGCGGATGTTAACTGACATTCTTTGTGCGATGAGTATCTTGGAGGTGTCCTACCTAATTTCAACGGTCGTCGAATATCGTTAAATTGGTTGGATACAACTTTTAAACATTTAAGTCACGATGCCTCTGAGGAACAAGTTAAAATGCATGCACAAGCTTGCATATTACAGCTCATAGGAGGATCATGATGCCCGAAAAATTGCGTAACCAAGTTCATTGTATGTGGTTGCATTACCTCGCAGATTTTCACGTTGTCGGCACACTTAGTTGATACTTCGTAGTTTTGGCATTTCTGTATAGGGAAATGTGTCGAGCAACTGATTGTCGAAAAAATGCTATCGGCGAATGTCTTATTCTTCTCCAGTCTTAGGCGTGGTATCGCATGCTCTTTTTTATGTCCAATAGTGAAACAACTGTTGGTCTTCTCGCTATTGTTGAGTAATTTCAATACTGAATTCGTATATAAATAATTTTGTTGAGTATATAATGAAATTTTCTTCATTGAATAGGTGGTCAAGTGCAAGAAAAGATCATCGAGATTTACCGGATGAATTGGAAGAAATTCGGCTACTCATTGATCAGAAGGCTGGTACAAAGGTATGTATTTAAATTTTATTATTATTTTAATTATCATTATATAATTAGAATATTATTTTGATAAGAATTATATATATGTATGTTTAGTTTCAATGAGCTCCTTATTCTACTGAAGAAATGAGGATTGACATCCCACATCACTTGAGAGGACCACTAGATGTATGGATGGTAGTGGTCCCTCTGATATTTATGCTATTGTTGAGTGGCATCCTACTGATCGTGTACTCCACCAATTTTCTTTTGTACAATATATTCTAGAAGCACCTAAGAATCTCGATGATATGTATATCATCGATAGACGAGACAAAAAAGAAGTTGAATGGTTGTTGAAACACATCGAGTGGGTAATGATATGAGAGGATCGACGTGGACGCATTACCCGTACGTAACCCATTTATGTGAATCATTATTCGATTGCGGATGATTATTATGAGTAGTTCAACATGAACGGGAAATTGTTTCTACTTTTCGAGGAAGCACGAGGCGAGAGCATTCATTGACGTTGACAAAGACGTCCACCGTCTCAGAGGAAAAAAAGTTTCAGAGGAAAATTTTTTAAGAATATGTATCTCCTCCTTCAACAAGGGCAAAATTTTCTTGTATTTTCCATATAAGAATGTCTCATAAAGTTAGTTATAATATGTGTCCCACTCACCGTGAAGTTTTTTAATGGCATTCTACTTTGCCTTCCATGTTTTCCTATGAGACGGTGTACCCATATTGCGACTGTATAGCTGAAATTAGCACCGCAATAACTATATGGGAGTTTGCTTTGACCATGGGCATGATGACTAGCAGATAATGCTAGAGCCCAAGTTGGGATGATCCTAGTTGATTCATCCAGCACAGCATGTGTAAGGACTATTGTATATTGTTAGTTCCCACGTATTGTTTTTCCTCTTTCTCTTCGATACATGAACCATCTAGTTGCATCTGTTATCACGTTGCACACAATGGCAGACATAGTTTTTGGTGGTGGAACGGTCGAATCTGGACTAAACAAAATCATGTATGTTGTAATTCTTAATTGTCATCATCACTTCTTCTTTGGATGGAAACTCCATTCCTTTATATAACTCACTATCACTGACTGATGAGTTAAATCTGTAGTCGCCAACATTAGGCATATCCGTAAATTTTGGCCCGTACATTGCACCACAGTCAGTTTCATACATGTGTGTTGAAGGTTCGGTGTATATCATATTTGTTGGATCTTCATCTACATCGTCATCATCGGAGTCCATGTTGAATTATGGTGATTCTGGCTGAACGACTAGTCTAGTCTCAACACCATCCGCACCTGGCTCACAAAGTGGTTCTTCTGGCGGAGATGAGGGTTCCTCTATGATGCCAACATTTAGGTTGAACAAGCTGGTAGTTGAAAGCCTTCCCTTTGAACTTTACGGCATCTTGACATTGAGGTCGAAGAAGCTCGCAGATGAATGACTCCCCCTAGAACTTGAAGGCATCGTGTCAAATGGGTACTGCACAGATTGTTGCGTTGAGGGTATTTCCATATTCAGGTCAAAAATATTGGCAGATGAATGTCTTCCCCTTGAACTGGAAGCGATGTTGCCATACGGATTGTTTGTGGAGCCACCTCGGTATAGATCGTAACAAGTTGTTGATGAATGTCTCCCCATTGAACTTGATGGGATGTCATCATGATGTGGATTTCTCATTAACAAGTTAAAATCATTCCACATTACTTGAGTTGGACTGCCAACTTGATCAGCTTGTTGAGCCAGCCCACAGTGAGAGCATAATGACATACCACAAACCATAAACACTTCAACAAATATTGCATACATCTGTGTATCAGCGTCTGAATATTGATTTTGAGAATCAACCATCATAGCAACATTGTCGTCGTTGGAGAGTTCGAACGCTGTATAAATTAACGAAAATACTACGGTTAGAAATCTATACTGAAGTGGTGACAGTCTTCTAGTACTTCCAACATGAACCTTCCTTGAAATTTTAGTGATAAGCTCCTCAAGAGTGATGTTTCTTTTGAATGATATTCTGACAGGATGATTTGATGCGAAGAGGATGCCGGTTTAATCTTCTCGAATTTCTCCATCATAGTAGACAATAGTTGAAATACGCATCATTATGAGATTTTGAAAGATTTAAAGTCTTATATCTGCAAAACAATAGCTGAAATACGCCTAATTAAATAAATAGTGTATGAATTAAAATATAAACTAATCCAATTTTTTTTTAAAAAATTCACAATAATTTAAATGACAATTTCATATTGTTACCGTATCGGCAAAATGTCTCGAGGTATGATCCCGCTTTCCAATTTTACAATCGCAAAAAATAATACAAAATAATTAGTACAATAAAATTTGTTCAAATAATTAAATATAAAATAAATATAATATAATAAAAATAATTTTACCTTGTAAAAATAATAACAAAATCTACTTAGCCTTATAGAAGGAATTGATAGAAGTGAGAACAATGAAGTAATTTTGGTGTGGTGATGTTTGTATTCAGAGGGGTTGTTATTTATAGGAGAGGGGGAGCGTTTTAAAGCCGAGTTTTCAGGCTCATGTAATAATGTAGTATTAATAATTCAACGTACATAATGGATCTGCGCCTTCCGTACGTGTCAGAGGTTCAGCGAAGTTGAGGATGGTGATCCTCTCATTTCCTTACGTGACGCCAGCTCGGACAGAACCCGGCAAAGACGCGGCTGACGATCTGTGCTTTATTGCCACCATGTTAGAAAGGATACTATATCGGTAATATTAAGGGATAGGGTACCTGACGGGTAATTATTAGGTGTAAGGGTGATATTTCAGTAAAAGCGTGCAAATCTAATATTGATGAGATAAATTTACACATTTAGGCTATGTTTGATGGATGGAAGTTGGGATGTCTTTGGTAGGAAAATTGGAAAGGATGTTCATTTTTTATTCTTTAGGTAAAAATTACGTTAATAGGGATAATATTATAATTTAAATAATGATTTACTTATAAATTATCTAAGGGTGAGAGGAAATAAGATTGAATAAAAAAAAAATCGATACCACGTTTATAACCTAAAAACATCAGACATCTGCCAAATCAAATTTTCAACATACTTCATTTCCTAATGTTAGGATGTAAATACAAGTCAAATTAACAAAATGCTGGCAGTGATATATCAATATCAGCAGTCACAACCAAGTTTTTGGCTGAGTTGCTACATAGAAAGCTAAAATTACAAAGGCCAGTCTCAGCTAATTTCCACAAGTCTTGACAAAAGCCTAGTATTGGGTTTTTGTTCCCCCACCTTCTGTACAAAAACTTTAATCCCCAACCACTGTTCATCAACCTGTAAAAAATGTAGAGGGAAAAATTGCAAATGAAAAGCTCTCTCTGTGTTCCTTGGGTGTAATAAATGTACAGTTTACACTAGCAGACGATCTTCGTTGAAACTGCTTAGGTCGATCTCTAGAGGAGAGTTTGGTTTTGAACTTACTTCGCGGTCTACTCTCAAATGACAATAGATTGCCTACTATGATGGTGAAACACGTACCAAAAGAGTCTTCGACACCATTGGCAATGTTTTGAATGCAGTTAATATCCATTCCCCAGCACCGAAAAGCATGTATTATCTCCGAGGAAATTTGAACATGTAACCAAATTTTTAGGAAATAAATCACCCCTAGCACCGAAAAGCATGTAAATTGCCTGGAGGCCCTTCCCTGACAGATTTCTGGAGCAAACTAGATTCTTCCATTACAGCCTGGCATTGATGGACCTCGATTAAGGTCCAGAGATGGTTTCAACTTCAAATGGTCCCTCAAAAGTTGCTGAGACACATGATCAGCCAGGACTGGCTGTCCATCATAGAATTCCCTATGATCCCCATGCCCAGGCCATCCATACTGTTTTCCAAAAGCTCCGGTATCTGATGAAATCATTTCTTGAGAAGCATTAGAATCTTGTAGTTGTGAAATCCCTCGAAACATGTCAGGCTTGGGTTCTTGATAAGGGTTGCTAGCATTTGTATACAAATTATTTTGGGACCTTGGGATTATTCCAATACCTTCATGCAAGTAGGTAATTGGTTGTTTTTGGTGATGAAATGGAATGGCACCACTACCACCTGTCACAGGAGTGGATGAAACAGAGAGAGCATGAGGGCTAGATATAGGAGAGGGGGACATCCTTCCCCTAAAATTTTGTGGAGACCTTGCATGTAGTAGAGGGCTGCCACTGGGAGAAACTGGGCATGACATGTTCCTTGGTGTATGAACATCACTGCAATGGAGCATAAATAATTATACGATATAAATCATGATGACACTGAAAGATAATGATCAAATATAGATCAGAGCAGATATTGTTGGCATGTCAAAATCTTGGTAGCAGCGACATTTTCTCTAAATGCAATTGTGAAAGTAGATACAATTCAATACACCAAGAATCCAGGGGAGCACGGTATTGAGACCAAAGGATTTGGCAGAAAAAAAAGGCCTTAATTACATGTCATCAATCTATAATCATTCATGAATACATAATACAGCATCTAATAACAACTTACATTATAATGATATGAAATATTGTTAGAATCAAGTTAAAAAATCTGTTCTATATATTGATTGGATGTTGAACCATCTATGACTGCTATCCTGTCACTACCATGGAAGTGATAGCTGAAAAAACGGTTTATTATGTTTAATTTTTCCCCTTATAGGCCAACAACATCATTGTTCTCATTGTTCAAGAAATTTATATCACATCTCAGTAATTTTGCTAGTTCTTTTAAAAGTTGAGCTATTTTAAGCTCAAAGCAGCATAACTACTCATATGCCCATTTTAGGCATCCATGTCTAAGTTGCACCTACAAGTACCAGCTGTTTACATGTGTGAACAAGTGCATCCATGTTAGAGAGAGAGAGAGAGACCTGGATCCTGATACTGTTTTTAAAGCTCTGCATGGAAGGCCAGCCGCACCCTCTGAATCTATGTATGGAAAATTTCTAGCATTTCCTATTCCCTAATGAGATATTGAAAAGCAGGATGCAGCAGTCAGCAGTGTCGGTAAAAACCTGAACTGATGATAATGATCAACAAAATCAAATAAACATAACTCTTAATTGTCTATACCAGTGTTTTCATTGCATTTGTAACTGCATGTGATGGATCTGATGCATCAGCACTGAAAATGGGTCTCTCCAGCGGCATCACATTTTTCACAAAAGGATGCTCTAGAAGCCAAGTTGCTGTAGGGCGATGTAATGGATTCCTTTGTAAACACTGCCTCACAAAGTCCTTTCCCTCATTCGAAAGACTATCCGGAATTGTTGGAAGTTCTTTACTGTTGCCAATTTTGAACATTGCAGCAACCTTTGAAGCAGTACAAAAAAACAGTCAAAAAGCAAAAATGCTTTGCTGTATTAATGATGACACTTTTCACAGCATCAGGAAAATTCCAAATTCATGCCTGTGTGTATCAAAATTCACCTACCCCTTCATAATGGCTCCAAGGTGGTTTTGTGGTAGCCATCTCCAACACAGTGCACCCAAGGCTCCATATATCAACAGCTAAGTTGCATCCATTTGAGTTCTTTATAACCTGGAGCAGGATATGGAAATAAAAACATTAATAAAAATCAACAAAGAAATAATGACATTGGAATAGACTCTATTAAACCATGTAGACCTCAGGTGCCATCCAATAGGGGCTTCCTTTGAACGATAGTGGACAAGACGACCCTGTAATCTGCAAATTATGCCAGATAACCAATATAAGCATCTAGAGACAAGCGATATGTGCAATCGTGCATTAAGCATCCTATCTAATAAGCAGTAAAATACAGGAATTACTTTTTCTTACAAGGATTAGGATAGTAGGATTTATTTTAATAAAATGACTCAGGAATTCAAACTACTTAAGATAATATCAGAAGCGAGGATCTATTTTGGTTGAACAAAACAGCATATGCATGACTTGTTTTTTATTTTGTAGGTAAAACCAATAATTATGAAATCATAGATAAAATGCTCTTACGTGCTTTGCCATCCCAAAATCAGCCAGTTTCACACGTCCATTGGGGTCAACCAGTATATTTGCACCTTTTATGTCTCTGAAGATATTGCACAAAATAGAAAATGATACTCCAACATGATTGACACATTGGATTTATTCCCAACGTAAAATCCCAAGAATAACCAGAAAATAAACTCACCTATGAACAGTTTTTTTAGCATGCAAGTAAGCCAATCCAGACAAAATTTGTTGAGTATAATTTCGAATGGCACTTTCACCAAAAGGGCCATACTCTTGAAGAAGTTTATAGATGGAGCCACCAGAAACGTACTCCAAGTATATGTAAAGTTTATCATCTACCTGTTCATGAAATAAAAAGGTATACTATGGAATTAGAATAAATCAACTGCTCGAATTGATCTATTTATATTGAATGCGAACTAACGATGACAAAACAGTTACAGGAATGACCCTTTCACAAAAGAAGACTCACAGTTTCATATCCATAATATTGCACAATATTTGAATGCCGTAAGTGGCTAAGCAGCATAATTTCCTGCCAAAACACTGTCCATAAGTATAAAGATCACCTAAAATTATTAACACCAAAATAAAAAAAAACTTAATGAATATTAAGGAAAATATTCCTGTTCTTAAAACCATAATTTCCAGCAAATGTCTTTTTAACAAAAAAAAAAAAAAAAAAAGGCATGCCTGTCCCAACTGCTGTACACTTTCCTTTGATTTGGCATCATCAGAAAACAAGGTAACTTCCTTCATTGCACACATCTCCCCGCTTTCACTAATGCAGAAAAAGAAGGGGAGAAAGGATGAAAAAGAGAGAAAACAATTGAAACATGAAAATAGCAATAAAAATTTGCAAGAGTTTGAGTGTGTTGTGCGTTTGTAAACCGCCGCTTGGGAAATTAAAAAGATCAATAACCTTGAACCAGGAGCGCCCGCATTCAAATTTGATGATAATGTTAACAATCATTTATCTAATCTCAGATGTTATAATTTAAAACAAAAAGCTGGGAGCAATCTCACATAAAGATAAAGTTGCCACAATCAATAACCCCTTTGACACACCTGTTAAAACCAAGATAGACATGTCCAAATGTACCCCTCCCGAGCAATCGTCCTTTCTTCCAGCGGAAGCAAGGGCTTGTTGGGTTTTCTGCCCTACCAGGACTTCGGGGTAACGATGGAGATGTTGCTGCAGAATACCCAGGAGAAAAAGGACAAGTGTTAGATATTGTTATTGGGGGTAGAGGCAACCTATGGCTTTTCTGTTTCCCATCATCGGGTCGGCTTGTAGGTGACTCAGTGGCAGCCCCTGCTGTTCGTGGATGCAAAGGGGTGACAGCACCACTGTGTATTCTAGAGCTGGGACCAGGGCTTGTCATTCTGGGACTAGGTATAGGAGAACACTCAGGGCTACACCTGCTTTGTGGCCAAAGCAACTGTCCAGACATATCTCCACCCACAGAATTATGGCCTGAACCTGGACTAGAGCAGTGTCCAGATCCCAGGAAAACTATATCAGAGAAAGGCTTTCCAATGCCATGACCAGAGTTCCAAACTTGCTCAAGACCAAATGCTCTAATTGGACTTCTTGAAGGACTTGACATTGAGCTGTCCGGAGCACTAGAGAAAGCACCACGTTGAGGAATCTGTAAATTCAGCACATGACTGTTCGCCAGTCCTCGCTTAGGTGATGGGTATAGGTACTGATTATTAAATAATACATTAGCTGGTTTCAGTATCTCCTTGGAGTCCTGCTGATTGACATCAAGCAACTGATCCATGTGCTTTGTGCTACATAAAAATTAAAATGATAATTGATCAAGGATGACATATAAGATCTGAAAGGACAGTTCACAAACACTATAAGTTTAAATGATATCAAATTAGTTACTCACCCAGATGGACTGTTCACTGCAGTCCTTTGTCCATTCTCATAATCAGAAGTCAGGGCGCTACGGGAATCAGATGGGTCATCACTATCAATAGAACTATCACTAGAAACCGAAGCAGTAGCAAAATCTCCCTCAGCATCAGCACGATCCAGTTTCTTAGGAAATTCCACAGGTTTTGGCAAGGGTAAAAACAGTAATGGCTTAGAACCTCTTTCGATTCCTGGTCTTATTGATGCACTAATTCCAGAATTGACTCGTAAAACATTAGCATGATGCCCTGCAGGAAGAGGAAGTGGTTGGGCATGAGGCCTTTCAGAAAAACTTTGACAGCGTGATACTTGCACAGAGGGTGATGGTGATCGTGACGGGACTCGAGAGAGAGATCCCCTTTCCAAAACAGCACAGCTCCTTCGAGAACCCCCTGATCTGCTAGTGGATTTTCCATCAGATGTGATCTTAAGCTTACGATTATTAGCATCAATTAAACTCTCCTTGCTTGCTTTCTTTTTCTTTTCTTTGGATGAAGACTTTCCCCACCATGGAGGCATATTGACGTAATACACAGAAAATTCAGAGTGCAAGATCCCCTTCTTAATTACAATTGTCACCAACTTAGACACCAATGATCATTTCAATTGCCGCCAACTTTGACACCAGTGATCATACTTGCTGCTGACACATTAAACTTCAACCAAGTCCATTGGCTTTTTGCTTAACATGATTGTGTTACAAGCACAAAGGCGAGACATAAATTTGGGATTGCCAATTAAAGCATGTTGCAGTCTCTAAAGATACATTATCCTGCAAGTACTCGCATACAAGCTTCATCATGAACCTCTATGGAAGGATGTACCAAAAGTTACTAAAACATAAACAAGAATTAAACTAGATATACAGCTAGGAAAATAATGATAACATAGAAGCAGTACACAGACAGCATAATTTCAGAATCATGTTGGACCGCAAAAATCATTGGACGTTTGAAAATTTCCCTCCTTAAAAAGCATCCATACAAGCTGCATTAATTTCAATTTCACATCTAAAAGTCATAACTTTGAATTTATTGCCTAACTAATCATTGGTCCACATCCCTAGATATATCATTTAGTCCAAAACTACTTCTAAAGTTCTAATTAATCAACATGGCATTCCAGCTCAACTTTACAGCTAAAGATAGTGCAGCTATTGAACTATTTGGACAAACAAACAGGGGACCTTGTCACTCAATTTATTACACTATCAAAACAGATCCAAAATTCAGATACCATTTTTGCACATAAAGTGACAAACTCAATCTCAAAAACCCAAAACACAGTCTTCCAAGCTGGATCTAAAATTAACCAATTCATATATCCAAATAAGTGGAGGAAGCAAACGAATTCAAAAGGTAAGGAACTCGAAATCTAACAATTTGTACAAAAAAAAAAACAATTGAAATCAAAATCCTTTCTCTAAATACTTCACAACCTAAAATGAAAGAAAAAAACATAGCCATGAGTTAATATAATAAAAAGTGGTTAAAACAAAGAAAAAAAGAGGCTCAAATTACAGTCTACACTCTAGAAACAGAGTAACCCTCACTTCAGCAGTTCCAAGCTTGAACAGAATAAACAAATCAAATCATCCGAAATCATCAAGACACTCCAAATGTTCAGCTCAAAACGCCCAAAAGAAGAAGCTTAAAAATAAAAACATGATAAAGGAGGAAAAAAGCATTACTTACAAGTGAAGTGTAAGTATAGCCCATCTAAGTAAAGTGTCAGTTTTCAGAGAGACGGCAAAGAAGCTCAAAAAGGCTCTAAAATGAATGACAGAAGAGAACGAGAGATCATTTTATTAAATCTAATTTCACTAAGGGTAAATTATATTTATGACCACTTAATTATTAACTTTCTTCATTTTAAATATAAATCTTTTAATTTTATCAATTAGATCATTTAGTTATTTAAATGTTATCAATAAAGCTGCCGACATTTAACAAAACATGATTGTTAAAAATTGATATTATTAAAAATTTAGTTCTTAATATTTATATATTCTATTAATTTAATATGAATTTAATTTAATTAAATAAATTTAATCTCTAATTAGGCCTAAATTAAATTAAATTTATGATTGAATTCATAGAGTATATAAATATTAAGGATTAAATATATAATGAAACCAATATTTACTAGTCATGTCACCTCCTCTCTTAAAAATTAGGTCACTTAATTGATAACATTTAAATAGTTAAATGATCTTATTGATAAAATTAAAAAATTGGTAGTCAAAATAAAAAGATACAATAATTAAGTGGTTATAGTCTTGTAGATATAGTTTATTTACATTTTTCTTAATAAACGTAGGATAAAGTACACAAATGGTCCGTTGATTATAGGGTATTGTTCTATTAAATTCTTCGACTATTAAAAGTTACAAGATAATCCTTCAAATATAGAATGTTGATTGGTTAAGTTCCTTAACTATTATAAATTACAAAATGATCATTCGACTATTCATTATTTTTCGAACCCGTCCTTCTATGAGATAAAAAAGAATCTCAAGAAATGAACTTCAGAAAACAACCCATTCATTAACCAAACTCATTACAAATATTTATACAAGAATCGTTAAGCCTTATAACAGAAGGCCATTTATAACAGAAAGCCATTGCAAGCTTCACTACTTAACAGACACAACGCCACAACTCTAACATACTTCCTATCTTTCTTCTTCTTCCTCTTCTTGATAATGAAAAACAGCAGTGTGAACTGGTTGTAATCGCAAGTCGTCTGCTGAGATAACATGAAGTTGTTCCCTAAGCCGAACGAAAAAATAAGTAGACAACGGCTAGGTAAAAACACCTGCAATCTGGTCCAGTGCAGGCACATAGTTAATCTGAAACGATCCGTCCATAACTTTCTCCCTAACAACGGCTCATATTGCGGCAGTAGCCCCGAAAGGATGATAGATATATGCACAATCTCTGACAACGGATGTCCACACGCCGCAAGATTGTCACAAATGTCTTGACCTTGAGCAAGATACTCCTTCATACTTTGGTCGCACTTACGCAAAGTTTTTAAAGAACAATGAAGATGCATAATCTTGGTGGTGGAAGAAACAGAAAAAGATTGCTGAATATTCTCCCAAATCTCCATTGCAGTTCTGCAACTTACCAAAGAAGGAAGAATTGATGAACTAATTGAAGAAAGCAACCAAGAACAAAGAGCAATGCCCTGTTGCTTATACGCCACATAATCTTCATTAAAGATCTTGACACCACCTTCGACGATATACTAAGGAGGAACCGACAAAGTCCCGTCAATATGATTGACAAGGGCCAAGCTCTCCAAAGCAAACAAAACCTGTTGCCGCCAAAGAATATAGTTTGAATCATCAAGACGAATGGAGATGGACTTGTTTCGTAAAAGGCTTCGAAACTTCTGCCATAGTTGGAAACTTCTGATACCATGTGAGATAAAGAAGAATCTCAAGAAATGAACCTCAGAAAACAACCCATTCTTTAACCAAACTCATTAAAATATTTATACTAGAATCGCTAAGCCTTATAACAGATGGCCATTTATAACATAAAGCCGTTGCAAGCTTAATTACTTAACAGACACAACGCCACAACTCTAACACCTTCTCTATTAAAAATTGTCGGTCTTTTAAGTTGAATGTTAACATGATGATTAAGATATGATAGTCCTTTGAGATTCTATGATTAAATTTTATCTTATTACAATCATCATGATAAAATTCAGCTCAAAATACCATTAATTTTTAACGGAAAATAACAACTTTAGAACATAATGAATAGTCAGATAATCATTTTGTAACTTTTAATAGTCGAACGACTCAACAAAGCAACATTATATAATCAAAAGATCATTTTATAACTTTTAATAATCGAAAGACTTAATAAAATAATACCCTATAGCCAAGAGACCTATCCGTGTATTTACCCATAAATGTCTTATTTTTTTCTTTTTAAGTGAGCAAAATAATAGAGTGCTGTCTTTGTGCGTTTAAATAAGGACCGGAAAGTTAAATTATTTAAACAAGTATGAATCTTCCTGTATAAAAGTTACATTCCAACATATATGGATGTATAATATTGATCGTTAGATTTACCTTTGTTGATAACAAGTTCATAATTTCAATCAAGCTCTCGATGTAGAAATGGGGTGTACTGTAGCTACTGTGGTAACGGATGCGTTGGAGTGATTGCCCTCAGTTTTTTTTCCATTTATTTAACCGCAGCTTACTTAAAAGTATCCCGATTATCATTTTTCACATATGCTTTACGCAATTAGGTGTCTTTTTATATTTTGTTTTTCTATTGAAGATCCCTTTGTCGTTTTGTTCAATACATATTTTAAAATCAATTCAATACATGTGCTAAAAATAAATCCAGTTTAAAGATTTAAAAACAATTAAATCAACTTTATAAATATTTTAAATTAAATTAACTAATAAAGAAAAATAAGATTGAATCGAATTTAAATAAAAAAATATATATATTTTAGATCAGGTTAAATCGAATGAAAGTTAAATATTTCACAGTCAATTCCCGTTAACTGAAAATTTGATACAAACAGCACTGTTACCATTACTGAATCAAAAAAGTAAATGACAATGATAGAATTTTTATCTTATAATAAAAAATAGGATGAAAGTATTTGTATTATAAAAATAATATTATATTATATTATGTATTTGATTTTAATTAATATATTTATTCGAAATTAAAATCGTTCAAAATTTTAATCAATATATTAAATAAATTTAAAATATAAACTCAATCCTTATAACAGAATATGTTATACAAAAATCTAAAAATAATAACTACCTTAGCAGTAGAATCGTTGTTGTTAGTAGAGGACACATGTTCGAGCACTAGCGACTATAGTATAGTGATTGAATGTTCATAGTTAAATGGTTGAGAGTATTTAGAACATATACTACTTTATAATTACCTTAGCTTAATAAAAAATAATTTATTAAATAGTTTAATATAGAAATAAGTACGTAAACTATATTTTTCTCCATTTAGATTCTTAAACTATTTTCCTGTCAATTCATGTATCCAACGTTTTCAACTTTTCACTTTTAGTTGTTTGATCCTTCATGGACGTTAAATTCTGTCGTTAAATTACCCATATCACATTTATAAATTTATAAATATTTTATTTTAAAAAGCTTAAATTTTTATTTTAAAACACATTTTTTAAAATTATAAAATCCCAAAATCTTTTAAAACCGCAATTTCAATTTCTTTGTCACTATCAATCACCACCAATGTCGTCAATGGCCGAACACCTAACAACAATGTAAATGCAAGATTTAGTTTTAAATATTCAAATCCCTAAAAAAATCCTTAAATTCATCGTGATAGTCAACCATTTGGATGGTTGTGGCAGTCGACCGTTTTTTCGTTTGGTCAACCATGGCAGTGGACCCTTTAACTCTCATTGGCCTTTGGTCATTTGAGAAAGTTGTTGGAAGAACACGTGATGAGTGAGAGGGGAGAAGGGATGATGGGGAAGTTTTTTTTTAATAATATATTTATTTAAAAAAAATTAAAAGTTTTAAAGAAATTTTGACTATGTATGAAAACTCTTCGGAACAAAAGATTAATTTTGACAGTCCATGATTTACTTCAATCCAAACACCGATAAAGAGCACGAAAGAGAAATTCTTGGCATTATTAGAGTGCATAAACAGGAAGAACCAGGATCCAATCTTTGCGGTTGGTAGAAACAAGACCAGAGTCTTTGATTTTGCCAAGGATAAGGCAAACTCGAGGATACAAAGGTGGACAAAGAACTCCCCTAATGAAGTTAGACGCCTTGAAGAGATATGACTCTGTATGAAAACTCTTTGGGACAAAAGATTATTTTTGACAAGTCCATATTTACTTCAGTCATAACACCAACAGGGAGCACATAAGAGAAATCTTTGGCATTATTAGAGTGCATGAACAGGAAGAATCGAGATCCTATCTTGGTTTGCCACTTACGGTTGGTAGAAACAAGACCGAAGTCTTCGATTTTATCAAGGATAAGGCAAACTCAAGGACACAATGGTGGACAAAGAATTTGCTCTCTTTTGGAGATGGGAAGATTTTTCTCAAATCGGTTATTCAAGCCCTCTCAACTTATGCGATGTATTGCTACCTCCTTTCGAATGTTGTCTTTAATGAGATTACCTCTAGCATACGCTTCTTTTGGTGGTAAGGGAAGCATGCAACCAGAAAATGACCATGTCTTTCTTGGGAAAATGTGTAGAGTTAAAAGGAATGGGAGAATGCATTTTCGAGACCTTTAATTATTCAATCTCGCGTTGTTGGGGAACAAAGTGTGAAAATTCATTCAAGACCCAAAGTTCCTTCTCTTTAAGGTCTTCAAAGCCAAGTATTTCCCCAATAATTCCTTTTGGATACTAAACTTGGATAAAAAGCATCTTATTCGTGGACCAACCTTCATAAGGCGAAAGAAGCATTGACTGACAGTTAATTCTAGATAATTGGTTTCAATGGTAAAGATAGAGTACATTTTGATAGACAAGGGCTCATCTCTGGTGGTTTTCTCTTCAAACTATATGGATAACGTAAATTCATCTATTCATTGAATTGACCTCATGTTGTAGGGCTTTCCTAAGTGGGACAAACAAAAGGTCACTACGATTTTGCCAGCCGATGAAGCAGAAGTTATCCTCTCTACTCTTATTGCCCCTTCTCCATACAATCGTCTCATTTGGGAGATAATAGTTCTGGTTGCTACTAGGCCAAATCCGGATACAAAATCCTTATGGAGAAAGATATATTTAC